GGAACATTCAGGATTTTGGATTTTCAGATTAGGGATGCTCAACCTATAGCAGTCTTTTATAATCCTTTTAAAATCTGTAACATCAACTTTAATGTCTCTTTAATTTCTGATTTTATTTGAGTTTTTGCTCTTTTTTTCTTAATCTAGCTAAAGGTCAGCAATCATGTGTGTTTGAGGGCTATTATTAAAAAAAAAAAAAAAACCAAAGTAACAGGTGTTGGTGAGAATGTGGAGAAATTTGAACCGTTATGCACTGCTGGTGGAAATGTAAAATGGTTCAGCCAGTCTGGAAAACAGTATGGAGGGTCCTCAAAAACTTACAAATAGAACTACTATACAATCCAGTGATCCCACTTTTGGGTATATACCCAAAAGAACTGAAATCAGGATCTTGAAGACATATTTGCCTTCCCACGTTCATTGCAGCTTTATTCACAGTAGTCAAGATATGGAACAACCTAAATATCCATTGAAAGATGAATGGATAAATAAAATATGGTATATAAGTATAATGGAATATTGTTCAGCCTTAAAAAAGAAGGAAATCCTGCCACATGTGACAATATGGATAAGTGAATTATGTTAAGTGAAATAAGCCAGTCACATAAGGACAAATACTGCATAATCCCACTTATATGAGGTACCTAAAATAATTAAACTCATTGACACAGAGAGTAGAATGATGGATGCCAGAGGCTGGGGGGAAACAGAAATGAGGAGTTGCTGTTCAGTGGGTATAAAGTTTCTGTTATGCAAGATGAATATGTTGTAGAGAACTGCCATACGACAGTGTTGTTATTGTTAACAATACTGTATTATGGACTTATAAATTTGTTAAAAGGATAGATCTCATGTTAAGTGTTCTTACACAACAAAAACAAGCAAATAAACAAACATGCCACCAGCTCAAAATAAAAAGAGGGCTGGCAAGTTAGCTCAGTTGGTTAGAGCACAGCCTTATAACATCAAGGTCACGGGTTTGGATCTCTGAACTGGCGAGCCACCAAAAAAAAAGGAAGAAAGAAAAGAAAAGGAAAACACTAAGGATAGAAAAGACTTTAAAAACACTATCAAACAACTTTTCCTAATTTATATTTATAGAACATTCCACCTAACAACAGCAAAATATTCATTCTTTCAAATGCACACAACATTCAGCAAGATAGACCATATTCTGGGTAATCAAAGGACTCGTGATAAATTTAAAAGGATTGAAATCATACAGAGTATGTTTTCTGACCAGGAGTAATCAGTAGAAAAAATCAAAAGTATTTGACCTGCATGAAAATGAAATGACAATATATCAAAATTTGTGTGGTACAGCTAAAGCAGTGCTTGGAAAGGTATATATAGCATTAAATGCTTAAATTAAAAAAGAAGTTCTAAAAATCAATGATCTAAGCTTCCTTATTAAAAAGAGAAGTAAATTAACCCCCCCCCCAAAAAATGGAGGAAGAAAATAATAAATACAAGAGCAAAAATCAATGAAATAGAAAACAAACAAAAAGGAACAAAATTGAGGAAACCTAAAGTTAGTTCTTTGAAAATATCAAGAAAACTGATCAACTACTACTAGCCATAATGATGAAGGAAAAGGACACGACACATTACCAATATTAGGAATGAAAGAGGGGACATCATCACAAATCCTACAAACACTGAGAGAATATTATGAACAACTTTACAACAATAAGTTGTAAAGCCTGAAGAGCTCTACATCTAATAAAGAAATTCAATTTGTAGTTAAAAATCTTTACAAAAACATCTGAAAGCCCAGATGGATTCAGTGATGAATTCTACCAAATATTTATGGAAGACATAATACCAGTTCTATATAAACTCTTCCTGAATATAGAAGAAGGAACACATCCTAACCCATCTTATGTGACTGGGAAACTATGCATCAGTATCAGAATGTAGACACAGAAATCCTTAACAAAATATAAGCAAATCAAACCCAGCATTACATAAATAGCATAATACATCATGACTGTATTATCCTAGGACTGGCTTGACATTCAAAAATCAATCAATATAATTCATCATATTAATTGTTATGGTTTGGATGCAGTTTGTCCCCACCAAAACTCACGCTGAAATTTGATTCCCAAAGTGATGGTGTTGGGAGGTATGGCCTAGTGGAAGGTGTTTGGTATGGCAGTGGATCTCTCATGAATAGATTAATGTTGTGGGAGTGAGTGAATTCTCGCTCTGGCAAGACTGGATTAGTTACCCAGAGAGCAGATTGTTATAAAAGCAAGTTCAGCTTCTTAGACTTTCTCTTACTTCCTCTCTTGCCATGTGATCTCTTTACACATGCTAGCTTCCGGATAGAAAAAAAAGTCTTTTAAACAAATAGTGCTTGAACAATTGGGTATCTATAAGGAAAACAAATGAATCTTTTTTTTTTTTTTCCTTTTGGTTTTTTTTTTTCGTGACCGGCAACGGATCGCAACCCTCAGTGTCCCGCCCGGACCGGGACCGGCAACGGGATCGCAACCCTCGGTGTTGCACCCGCACCTCGCTCAGCCAGTGAGCGGCCAGTCTGTATGTGGGATCCGAACCCTCGGCGGGAGTGCCGCTGCGCTCCCAAGCGGTGCACTGTAGCAGTGCGCCACCGGGCCGGCCCAAAACAAATAAATCTTATGTCTTACCTTATATTGCATACAAAACTAAACTCTAAATAGATTACAGAAAGAAAAGATTTCTTACAGAAATGTAACAGCTAAAGCTATGTAAGACTTACTTTACTCTTCACAATTAAAAAAAAAGTGAAAAGGTAAGTCACAAATTTGGGAGAAAAACATTTACAAAACACCTATCTAATACAAACTTGTATACAAAATATATAAAAATCTGCTACAACTCAACAAGGAGATACACAACTGATTTAATAAATGGGTAAATGATTTGAACAGGTATTTCACCAAAGGAGAGATGTGAATGGTAAATGAGCCCATGAAAAGATGCTCAAGATCCTGTCATTAAGAAAATGAAAATAGGGCCGGCCCGGTGGCGCACTGGAGAGTGCACCGCTTGGGAGCGTGGTGGCGCTCCCGCCAAGGGTTCGGATCCCACGTGGAGACTGGTTCCCGCTCACTGGCTGAGCGAGGTGCGGGAGCAACACCGAGGGTTGCGATCCCGTTGCCGGTCAGTAAAAAAGACAAAAAAAGGAAAAAAAAAAAAAAAAGAAAATGAAAATAAAAACCACAATGAGATTCCAATATGTAATTACTAATATGGATGAAAAAAAAATTTTTAGGGGGTGCTAGCCGATTAGGGGATCCAAACCCTTGACCTTGGTGTTACAAGGCTGTGCTCTAACCAACTGAGGTGACTGGCATTAGAAATTTTTAAATGGACAGTTCCAAGTCCTAATGAGTATGTAAAACAACTGGATTCATACATTGCTGGTAGGAATGTAAAACATTGGAAACTTCAGAAAAGTTTGCCAGGCTCTTGTAATGTTAAACGGGCCAACAATTCCACCTTTAAGTATTTAAGTAGGAGAAATGGATATATATGTCCAAACAAAGATTTTAATGTGAATATTCATTACAGCTTTATTTGTCATAGCTTAACTAGAAACAACTCAAATGTCTATCAGTAGATGAATGAATAAACACACTGAGGTATATCCATACAATAGAATAATGCTTGTTACTAAAAAGGAAAGAACTACTGACACATGCAACATGAATGAATCTGAGAAAGCTTTATGAAAAGTAAACTCAAAATACTACATATTATAAGATTCTATTTACATGAAGTTCCATAACAAGCAAAACTATAGTGACACAAAGCAGATTGTTAGTTGCCAGAGCTTAGGGGTTACAGGAAGGGACCAAACACAATGGGTATGAGGGAACTTTCTAGGTAATGAAAATGTTCTATATCTGATAAACATGTTTTATATACACATTTGTCAAAATTCACTGAGCTATGCACTAAAAGTGAGTGAATTTTACTATTAAATTTTACTAGAAAATTATACTTCAATAACACTAATTAACAAAAAGCAAACATACACATACACACACACACACACACACACACACACACAGAGATGGAAACCACTAACATGGCTTAAGTGAAAAAGACTCAATATCTGCCAGAATTCCCATGCACTGGAGACCTATTTGGCAGACTCTTAAATTTAAACAAATAGCTAATGCATATGACTTAACAAATCCACTGATGCAACAGCATGGATAAATCTAAGAAACATGTTGAGTGAAGGAAGTCAGATACAAAAGGGCACATAATGTCTGTTTCCTATTATTTGAAATTTCAAAACTAAATCTGTGTTGGTATACAGTAGCATACAGGAGTTTTATGGGATGATAAACTGTTTTATCTCCCAATTGTAGTGATGGCTTATGAATCTATACATGTGTTAAAATTCATAGAACTGTATATCAGAAAAAAAAAAGTTAATTTCAGTCATCTTTGTAAAAAAAAATAATAATAGTTACTTCTTTTGGGGAAGAAGATGCTGACTAGAAAGGGCCCACAAAAACTTTTGGAGGTGATAGAAATGTTCTTCTATATTTTGATCTGGGTGACGATTACATGGGTTTTTACATATGTTAACATTCATCAAGTTGTACATTTAAGAAGGGTATTTTAACTATATTTAAATTTCACCTCAATAAAGTACTATTACTAGGGAAAAAACCTAATGAACACTGGAGTCTAGTAAAAACTTAAATTTTTAAAAAAAATCTTTTTGAAAGCAAAAAAAAAAATCAGAAGTTTCCTAAAACTCAAAAAATTTTAACATATCTCTTAGCAACCACATTTTTAAATTATGATAACTTGGCTGGCCAGTTGGCTCAGTTGGTTAGAGCATGGCATGGCCTTGTAGCACCAAGGTCAAGGGTTCAGATCCCTGTACCAGCCAGCCACCAAAAACAAAAAATTATGACTAAATTTAATAAAAAACTACTTTTTACATAATTTTGATATACAATTTATGATCATCAAAATTCAAAACTTACCAGGGAAGGAGTATTGAAATTGATTTCTTCAAAGCAGCCATCAAATATTAGACTAAATGTTGGATCTACAGAAAAAAAAAACCAAACATTTTTTAACATTAAGATCACTGAAACAACTTTTTCATACTTTAATATGAAAATAGTCAGCATTTCATCAATAATGCAAGTATAATACTAAGCAAATTATAAACTGTCAAGAAACTTTCTATCTTGACCTAAAATAACTATCTTTTAAACTATCACCTAACTTATTAATAAGATTTTAGTCAATATTTTTATAGTACAATCACTAACTGTCAGATGGGCCATTAATTTGTAAGTGGAGACTAATACAAACACATTTTCTTCTATGAATCCATAGCAGAGCTAGCATCCTGAATATTTGCAATGAAAAAGATTAAAAAACATTAATATAATAGTTGTAATGTTAAAAAAAATAAAAGAAATTGTTTAAGTAAGTTTTTAAAATTAAATATCCAATGCTAATTCCTGAGAAGATGGGTCAATTCTGTTAGGCTGATGAGAGGTTACTTTACCTAAACTATGCAATAATCCATATGGAAGTATTATCAGGAGCTAAAGAATGGCTAAGTTCAGTATCAAGGAACTGCAGAAAGGTTGGGTTGCATAAAAAATCTTGACCAATAAATAAGGTTTGGTGATCTAATTATAGGAATAAAGAAGAGGTCAGGAGAAGGATCTCATATTTTTCCTACCAAAGTACCTTTACTAGCTAGTCCATAAATCTCTCTATCTGCATTGTAGGCTAGTCTCAGCTTTCTCAATATGTAACACCCAACACAGTGACCCAAAGTAGCATCCATTATTAAAAGGTCATTGCTATGACTCTTGAAATATGCTCATATTTTTATATATCAGGTAAAATATATCAGGTATATTTGCAAGGTAAAATTATCTAGGAGCTTCCTCATTTTAGAAAAAAAGACTTAGAAAAAAAGACTAACTGACTTTTAAAGGAACATTTCTGACTAAAATTAGAAGCTTTCCTTGACTGTTTTAACCAACAGTAACTAATTGTTACCTACCACTTGTAGTAAGGATTACAGGTCGTTTAGTTGTTGCCATGAATGTTTTGATTGCATTCAAAAACCCAGCATCTTCATCAAAAATGACATCAACCTACAAACCATTTATTAGAATATTAATGTAATGAGTAATAACACTTACTGGATATCAGTTACATATAAATATTAGATGTCTGTTACAGACAAAATTTATGAATTAATGAACAGTGTGAATTCAGCCCATGCTGAAAGCTTATAATGTCTTACACTACAAATGAGTTAAAAATTATCAAATATCAAATATTAAAGCCAATGAAATCCAGTCACCTATAACTGGATATGAATCAGAATAATTTCTACAATCATTGAATGATATTAGTAACCTTGAATTGCATTAATCATCTTCCTGAAAAATTCTTCTAGAGTTGATGGTTTCAATTGCTTTAATTTCAAATAAATAGAAAGTTCTCCTGACTTTGTTAGCTATTTTAAAGTTCTTTATAAGAAAATATTTAGTAATCATTAAAATAAATTTTTATCACGAGATGGCATGAACACACGTGTAAAGCCTACCTCCTCGAAAAGAATGAGAGATGTTGCATTTTTTCTGTTGGATTCCTCAACTCCAAATTCTTTGACATTTGAATTAGTTGCATTTGAGGACTTAGTCTGAGTAATTTGTTTCTGTTCAAAAGAATTTTTGATTCCTGGATAAATATAATATTGATATTTTAAGTAAAAATCATCTTTTAATAAAACATTGGATATTTCCACAGAATAGCTCAAACTGAAATCTTATCAAAACTGAAACAAGAAAACAAAGAAAAAACTGAAACAAAATATCAAAACTCTTATATGTAGGATGTTCAGTGTAGCTGAGGTTTAACAAATAGCACAGGGACTCTTGAAATATGCTCATATTTTTATATATCAGGGTCATTAATATTAAGAAATGTCAAATTTATTTTGTTCACTTAATGTCTCACCTTTATTATTTTCCAGAAGTGGTCCTGTTTCTTCTTTATTTTTTGGGTTGGAAGATATCTTAAAATAATTTGCCAAAGTTTTTGGGGGAAGTGCTCGCTTTGGTCCACTACTTTTTGGTGATGGTGGAGGAAGTTTCCTTGGTGATGTAACAATCTTCTTAGGGGAGTTTAATTTTTCTGCCAAAAACAAATTGTATTGAAAGATAAATGTTTTAAAAATTAGACAGGTGGCAAAATATACAGTTATCCACATTCTTTATTTCTATTCTTACCAGTTAAAGATCAAAGACAGAAGTTTTCTTTCATTCTTTCATTCTTAAATTCAAATACCCTCTACATTCAAATATTACTATTGTTGTATTTATTCTACAGTACAATGGTTAAACCAGTCATTTGGAAAAGACACTCTTTTCCAAGAAACACACATTCTTTAAACAAATAATATTCATAATCCCTTCACTGATGCTCTCTACACTTGCTTGAAGTCAGAAGAGTCTGGAGGAAAAATAAGAGTATACACTGAGCTCCTACAAAACTTTGTTGTCAAGCTGCAGTAAGTGGATATTGCAAGCATTGTAACATGTATTTCAATGCTAGAGATGCTTTGGAGGACAGATACAAAGTTTAAAAATAAATGGTTGACTTCGGGTCAAGATGGTGGAATAGACGGTCCCCAGTGTCACTCTCTCCCACAAATCAACCAATTTACAACTATAAAAAAGCAACAACAGCCAAGCTGGGGCCGCTAGAGCTCAGGGGAAGAGGAGGAGAGACCTATGGAGCACATGATGGCAGGAGAAGTCACAATGAGAGAAAGAAAAAAACCACTGGGACCATTTCAAATCCAACTGCTTCCAGGCTGGAGCTGCTGAGCACACAGAGCAGAAACCACAACTTGCTTTGAACCCCATGAATATTCATAACCAATAAAAACAAAACAAAACATTAAAAAAAAAAAAGGAAGTATCAAACATTACTGGGGCTATGCCAAAAGAACACAGACCAATGAAAACAGTTCCCTGCTAGCCAAAGATGGGAAAATATGAGCATCAAAAGAAAAGACAGGATTCTACTTCTGGTCATAATATAGTAACTGGGATTGGATTTACCCTCCAATCTGAAATAACAACAAAAATAAACAAACAAAAACTGGACATAATATATGAAACAACACGTTTTAGACTGGCCACCATGCAACAAAGGACAGTGATCACTGAGAGACAGACAAACAAGGTGAACACTAGGATTGCCCAGCTTATTGCCTGGAGAGAATTTCCAGGTCACAGTGGGGAGGGGAAACCCCATCCAGGTTTTCCTGAGTTGAGGAGACCATCAGAAGAGTCTAAGGAAACCCTCCATCTCCAGGCAGATGGAGGTCACAGGGCAGAATACATAAGAGAAGACTGTGCAAAGAGAGCTCTAGCAATCTGCAGAGTCTCCCCTGACTCTAAAATTAAGCACTTATCAGTAAAGGATCAGCAGAAACAATGTCTGAGGCTCCCGGAGAGCTAGGAATAGTTCCTCTTCCCACCAGACAGAATGGCAAACTTCATAATAAATGGGGTACTGGACAGAGGAGTCAGAAAGGTTTTGCCTAAGTAGTGTGGCAAAACTAACCCTAGGTTAAATGCTGCTATTGTCATGCCTAATACAGCTTAAAAGACCAGAAAAGAGCAAATTGTTTCCAAGTAACTGAACTGCATCCCTGAAGAAAGTTCAAGAAGTTATAGGAATACAGAAATATCCAGCACCTAATAAGGTAAACTGTACAAAGTCTGACAAGCAATTAAAATTATCAGGAATCCAAAGTAGGAAAAAATATAATCCATAATAAGGAGGAAAAATCAACCAACTGAGAAACCAACTCAGAAATGACAGAGATGATAGAATTAGTATACAGGAACATTAAAACAGTTATAACCAGATTCCATATGTTCAAAAACCAAGAGGAAAGACAGGACACATGATGAGTAGAAACACAAAAGATATTAAAAGGACCCAAATCAAACTTCTAGAAATGAGAACTATACTGAATGGCAGACAACATACTAAATACTGCAGAAGAAAAGATCTGTAAACTTCAATAAATGGTAATTAAGTATCCAATGGTAATAACTATCCAAACTGAAACACAAAGAGGAAAAAGAAAGACTGAAAAACTGTGAGACAACTTAAAGTGGTTTAAAATACCTATAATTGGAGTTGCCAAAGGAGGTAAGGGCAAAAAAAAATATTTCAGTAAATTCTACGACAAATGGGGTAGGTTCTTTGACAAATAACTTGAAAAGAAAGGGTGAGGGAATTGTTAGAGAGTTTAAAAGAAACTTAAGAGACATTAATCAAATGTAACATATGGAGCTTGTTTGGATCTTGATTTGAACAAACCATTTGAAACAACAAAAAACTGATATCAAATTGTGTATTAGATGATATTAAGAAATATAGCAAATTTTGTTAATCTGATTATGGTTTTGTAGTTATGTTTTTTAAAGAGCCCTTATCAGTTAGAGATTCATATTGAAGTATAGATGGGTAAAATGATATGGTGGTCTTCAGATTTGTTTTAAAATAGTCCAGGAAAAAAGCAAAGCATGCGTACGTGTAAGAGAAGATAAAAAATGAATGGCAAAATGTGGATAATTAAAATTATTTTCTGAGATGTTATTTTTTTTCAAATGATTATATCTTAAGGGAAATAATTCACTTACTTGGTGACTTGCCTATGTTGTAGCTATTAAAAAAACAGGGTTTTTGTGAGTTTACACCTTGTTTGTCTACTTGATGGGACTGAGTCGCTTCCTTCAGCTGAGATAGAATTTGTCTACCACTGCGCTGGGAAGAGGCATTCACTTCAAATATCTAAAAGTAGAATATATGAAAAAAGAGCCAAATGGTCCATGTTTTCTTTTAGTTCAAGGGTAATTATTGCATTAACATTTTCCCACTGTAGCTATTACTAACCTTAAATCCAAGCTCCTGAGCACAAGCATACACTGCAGCAGTTTTTCCCACTCCTGTTGGTCCTGTTATAAGAACAGTATTGCAAAGACGACTCTCTTCTTCATCATCTGAACTGCCTTTAAAGTCTGTGCTATCTGACAAATCTGAAAAATTATTCAAATGCATATAAAATGATAATAGCTTGGGCATCAACTCTACCTCATAAAACCCAACGATCAAATTCCACAAATTTCTTGCTAATAAATACTGGAAAATGAATTTACAAAATGTATAAAACCAAACATTAAAAAACAATTAAGAAAGTTTTTACAAAATTTTAGCTAATCTAACTCTAAAAATGTTCAGTGAAACAGAAAAAAAAAATAACTCAAAATACCTTCCTGTTTCTCATCTCTTTTTCCCTTCATATTTTGTCTTTCTTCCAATTCTGCTCTTCTTTTCCAGTCTTTCAACCAACTACCATAAGAAAATGTATGTTAATAAAAATAATTTGCAGAATATAGATATCTCTTAGACTTTATGTTAAAATGATTGTTGGGTGAAGTTATGGTATATCATTAATTTTTAAGCACTCCACAGTGCCTCTGAATCAACTAAATAGTAAAATATTTATACATGGGCATGAATATTTTATAACGAAATAATTTCCTAAATAGACAAGACTATATGTGCAAGAATATTGACTGCAACATTGTTTATATTAGCCTCTAAAAGGAAAAACCTAAAAGTAAACCAGTAGGGGAAAAGATATACTATGGTATACTCACATAAGAAACCAGTACACAACAATTAAAAATAACTGAGGAAGACTGTGTGATGACATAACAATGTATAATAGGAGGGAACTTCAAAAGTTCATGGAAAAACAGAATTAAAAGATAATATGAATCTTTCCATTAACTTTTAAAGATCCCTCATATACAATGTTAGGTATAAGTAGAAAGATCAAATTGTAGTCTGGAGCTAGACCACCTGAGTTTAAATCCCAGCTCCACCACTTCCCAGCTGTGTGACCGGACAAATAACTCAACATTTCTAGGCTTCAGTTTCATCTAGAGATGAGGACAACAGGATACATCATTAGTATTGTTCTAAAGATTAAATGAACTAAGAATAGTGCAAGTACTTAGAATAGTACCAAGTTCATGGTATTAACTATTATTAAGGGTCCACAATTCCTTATATTAAATCCTTTGGACCAGGTAGATTTAGAATTCAGAATTTTCCAGATACTGGAAAGATAATTTGGTACATATGCCATGTATTGTATAATACCCCTAAAGGGATCTAGACAGTACATCCATAATCACTTAATATTTTTAAAAAGTATGAATTCCTACTAAGTATGATTGATAAAGATCATAATAAACTTTATGAATAAAGTCAATAAACTTTCAGTTTTCAAAACTTTTTGGATGTGGGAATTGTAGACAAAGGATTATGGACCTGAATTAGCAGTAATGTGATTCCATTTGTTAGAAAGGAAGGAACTATTGTACTGGCTAGCTGCCAAATAAAAAGGGAAGGAAGGAACAAATATACAAGTAAAATTTTTTCTGGAAGTTTTTTTTTTTTTTGTCTTTTGTCTTTTTCCGTGTCCAGCAACGGATCGCAACCCTCAGTGTTGCCCCCGTACCGGACCGGGGACCGGCAACGGGATCGCAACCCTCGGGGTCGCTCCCGCGCCTCGCTCAGCCAGTGAGCGGGAACCGGTCTGTATGTGGGATCCGAACCCTCGGGCGGGAGCGCCGCCGCGCCTCCCAAGCGGCGCACTTATCCAGTGCGCCACCGGGCCGGCCCTTTCTGGAAGTTTTTTACAAGAAACTATCAATTGGGGTTACCTCTGTAGAGAAGAAATGTGAAAAAAGAAAGATATTTTTCACTTAAAATTTTTGTTTTTTTCTTTTTTTTTAAGATTTGAATATACTAATTAATATTGAGTACACTAATATTTAAGACTGAATATACTAAGATTGAATATACTAATTATCCTGATTTGAGCATCACATATTGCACATAGGTATTGATATGCAGCTCTGTACCGCACAGACACATACAATCAATTATGTTTCAATTAAAAAAAAAGAAAGAAATAAGATTTTATGATGTAATATATTACTTTATAATTATAATTTCTAAATTTTAGTGTACATAAAACAAATAATAAAGCTAAATTTGTAAACTATTTCTTAGTTCTCTTATAAATTTTACCAACCTATGTAACTTTTTTATAGCTAACTCATTGCCTACGAGCTCACTGGCATTCTGAGGTTGATACTTTTCTGTCCAAAGCATGTCTTCAGTTCCAGAATCTAAAGCAAAAAAAAATATATTAAGGTATTCATCCCTTGATATAAGCATATATTCTTACACATTTACATTATTGTTACAATGTAACAATAGGTTAGCTATAGAAATATTTATATTTACAAAATGCCAAAAAGGTGATTTTAAATTTAACATTACATTTAAAATGTCACACCAAACTCTTCCCTCTAAAAAACCTAACCAACATAAAATCTTATGAAAGTAAGATATAAAAGTACACACATTTAAATTTTTAATAAACACTCAAGAAACATGAACTATGAAAAATAATTTGTAGCATAAAAACAATCAATCTAAGGAACAAAGACAGCATAATCTTAGTGAAGCTACTTATGACCACTGAAAAGAAACATTGAAAACATTCCATGAAGTCAACCTGAGTAAACGGAGAGATACTACACTCTTAATCAAGACGAATGAGTACTGTAAAAATGCCACTTCTCTCTATATTAACCTATAAGCTAATGCAAAATCAAAATCTAACTAGGATTTATGGGGGCAAAATAACCTGTAGTTCATTTAGTCAAGTAAATACATGAAAATACTTAAAAAAATGATAGGAGCCTTGCTATATCAAATATTAAAACATACTATAGAGCTATTTAAGTTAATGAACTAAATCAATTCAATAGAATACTTTGGAAAAGCTATATAAACTGAATGGGAACATGTCAGAGATATGTGCAATACACTGTAAAATAATATGTATAGTATGATCTCAGGTTTTAAAAAAAGCATCCGTATTTATAGAGGCAAAGAAAAATCAAAGACTAAACACCAGTCTGTTAATATGGTTATATGTAAGCCTCTAATCAATGAAGCTTCCACTTATTTTATGCACATATGTATTTTTTGAAAGTTGCAATAAGTGTGTATTAAAAGGGAGGGGCTGGCCAGTTAGCTCAGCTGGTTAGAGCATGATGCTGATAACACCAAGGTCCAGGGTTCCATTCTTGTACTGTCCAGCTGCCCGCCCCCCAAAAAAAGAAGGGGGTAAAAGAGTGAGAGGTTAAACAAGAGTTCTAGGACCAGAAACAGAAAATGTAATTTACCAGGAATAGAAGATATTTCTGATGCACACTCCTTGTCATCATCTGTCATCAGAATATCAAAATCTTCTGCTTCCGTTCCCACTTTACATGTTGTATTCAAAGCAGTTTGTTTCTTCTGGGATGTTTTAGAAAATATATCTTTGGAAGAATCTAGCTTTATCCCAGAAGAACTGTTTCTTTTGTCAATTTCTTCTGGCTTCCCATTTATCTTTTTTGGACTTTCTGAATATTCATTTGGTTTCTTTCTTTTTGACTTACGATTTTCTGTTTCCACTCGTTTCCTTTTGGTTTCTTTTTTATTGACATCAGGCTCCAGTTGTGGACCTTCTATTTTGGGAATTATAGAAATACATGTGTTTACTAATTAAAAAAAAATAACTTTTAATACCCAGTAATCTTAATATCACTTCCAAATATCCAACAGTTCAAATGACTTTAAAATGAAAAGGGAAGAATCAAATGTGATACACTGAAAGCAGGCTGGAGATCTTAACATTTACACTGCCTTTTTTACAGGCTGTATAGATTGAAATTGTCTCATCTAAGGCTTTCCTTAAATGAATGATTAATATTTTAACATAAGGAAAGCTACCTTTGGGTTGGCATTCTCTGGAAGCTGGCAGGGGCTGAAACTGCATTGTACAAGGTGCTTTCACTTCAGTTAAACAATTCTCCCTGCCATCTGTAAGTAATGTTCTGTCTGGATGACCACATCCAAGAGTCAATGGCTGTCTTAGTGTTTTCAAAACTGAATTGTTAACATAAATAATAATAATTATCACTAACCTTGTTTATCATGACACTCAGAAAGTTTCTGGCGCTCAGTTTTTTTTTTTAGAAGCAAGGGAAAATATTTTCTCAAGGAAAATTCAGGATTTGACCACCCAATTTCCTCCAGCAAAAGATTTCTTACTTCTTCAGAAAAGTCCTTCCTTGTCCTCATAAACTGCAATAAAGAATAAAATGCACAGTAATGGACCCACATCATCTATTCATGTTAATCACAATACTACCAACCACTTTCTGTGCCTAATAAGTCAATCTCAATGTATGATTGATTAGCCTTAATAACTGAACACAAAGCTGCATTTGCAAAACTTCTAAAGGACTTAGTTCTTATTTTTATTTTTCTCCCTTTCACCTAAATATACTTTACACATTTATTAGATTATGATGGTGATTTATAATCTAAATGTAGGCTAGCTGGTTAGCTCAGTTGATTACAGCGTGATGCTGATAACAGTAAGGTCCAGGGTCTAATCCCTTCTCCCATTCAGCTGCCCCCCGCCCCTGCCCCCAAAAAGAATCTTAATGTGCTATATAATCTAACATTCTTATGATGCTGATAACAGTAAGGTCCAGGGTCTAATCCCTTCTCCCATCCAGCTGCCCCCCGCCCCTGCCCCCAAAAAGAATCTTAATGTGCTATATAATCTAACATTCTTTCAAAACTAGCTATTGGCTGTCTGGTTAGCTCAGCTGGTTAGAGCACGGTGTTGCAATACCCAGGTCAAGGGTTCAGATCCCTGTACCAGCAAGCTACCAAAACCAAAACAAACAAACAAAAAACTAGCTATCATTAAATCTTAAAATAGTTTTAAAGCTCTGTAGTATTTAAAAGAAATGTATACTTCAATTAAGATTTATTTTTTAGGGCGGAGCCCGTGGTGCACTCGGGAGAGTCCGGCGCTGGGAGCGCAGCAGCACTCCCGCCGCGGGTTCGGATCCTATATAGGGATGACCGGTGTGCTCACTGGCTGAGCGCGGTGCGGCCAGTCTCAAAAAGGACAAAAAAAAAAGATTTATTTTTTAAAATTAGGCTCTAGAAAAAATGGAACTCTAGGCTACAATAGTAGATATCAAAAATTTTCTTTTCCTCTGAAAGATGTGAAGGAAACACCCTACAAAGGATGAGCACTCTAATACTTACCACAATAGCAGAATTATTACATTTTGAACTTGAATTCAATGTTGAAAATTCACCAAGAGCAATAACACATTTTGACAGATCTATTATTTTAGTATTCAGTTCTTTAAATTTCGTTAAGAGAGGACAAGAGGGTGGTTTCAAATGCCACAAATGGCACCCTAAAGAAAAACAAAAATTATCTTAATTAACTTAATTTACATACTGTCCATTTACTTAATGGTAAGTATGTAAACATGAAAAGACTTGACAACTGCATAGTTAACACAAAAGTACCCAAAACCCAAATGAATACACAGCGAACAAAATCCTCACCTCTAATAAATACAATTAATAAAAATTACCTACTCTTCCCTCCCAATTTTTAAAAACAAGCAAATATTAGCAAATTTTCATTTTTTTAGCTTAACTAAGTTTAATTTTATTTATAAGATGAAAACTAAATATTTTCTAACCTTCCATAGAAATTTTTCATGAAAAACAAATACCTATCATAAATTAGACCATTAACTCCAAACTCCTTCAATTTTCTTGCTTTCAGGATCATTGGTATCATCACCTCAGCAAAATGTGACTAGTCCCTTAGCTTTTCCTCTTGAATACAGGATGGGTTTCTGAGCACGTCTTCAGTATGTGCATTTATCCCTGGTAGGTTTTCATACTGTGCAAAGCTCATTGCATTAGGGATTGTCTGAGATCTGAGGTCTGTGAGTTGAGGGTAAAGATCAGATTTTCCTTGAGTCAAAAAAAATATGGGATATTTGTTCTGATCTTCAGTATGTGCATTTATCCCTGGTAGGTTTTCATACTGTGCAAAGCTCATTGCATTAGGGATTGTCTGAGATCTGAGGTCCGTGAGTTGAGGGTAAAGATCAGATTTTCCTTGAGTCAAAAAAAATATGGGATATTTGTTCTGCTTTTGCTGAACCATTGTACAAATATCTGCATCAAATGAAGAAAACACTATTCTCCTCTTCCCAGAGTTTTCTAAAAGTTTTAAAAATTGGGTCCAAAACCAGATTCACGTCAAAATGTTGATAAGTTACCTCCCCACATTCCATCCCTCTGTTGGCAGATCCACTTTATTTCTATGTTAAACCCCACAACTTCTGGCAAAGACTCAAACCATCTTGAGAAGGAAATGGCTGATTTTCAGAAAAGGAGTTTTCCTCCTCAACCACAAATTCTTTCCTATCTTTAGATTTTAGTGAAGTCACATGAGCAAGCTTTAACAACTGGAGTTGGTAAAATGTTAATTCCTTTCCTGGAATTTCAAATAATTCACTGGATCAGCATCAGATTTCTTCTTCATAGTCAAACAACAGGTGTGATCATAATATACCACAGTCACAAAGTCCTTTGAAAGGTGTACATCAAATTCTACAAAGCCTGCACCATGACTAGCAGCATTTAAGGAAGCAATAGTATTTTCTTGAACTTTCACCAGCGTGGCAGTTATATTTTCCTGCACCTCGATGTTCAAAATCCAATGGTTTTCTTGACTTCCAATACTTGGAAAATGAAGATTTCACATCACAATTGTATCCTGGTAATGGCTTAACAATTATATAGTCAACTCTCACTTTGCCTGTTGTTTTTCTAGAATTTCTGCTCATGATGGGAAGAGTAACACTCTTCTCACTTTCAGCAATGGTGGATGATAAGAGGAACGCTGTACCCACATGTCCAGGAAGGGCATCACCCTGCACTACATATTCATTGAGATCTTCCTCAAAAAAATCAAAGATTAGTTCCAGGTTATCTGGTTCCACTGTCTGTACACTGAACTCTGTCCAGTGATCAGGCTGTAAGCCACAGCCACACTCTGGCTGTGAATGCCTGCACTTGAACTCTTTGTTGCTTATTAAGGATATCTCCAGGCTATTGGACATTTTGTGAAGAACAGTGGGAGAAACCCTATGATTATCATTTTCCTCCAGACCCTCTAGTGTCAGCTTTACCCTAAATCTATATTTAAAAATTTTTTTCTTGGTTATTTACACAGGAGGTTTTTCAGAATAATGCAAATGTAATCTTATTTCAGTCTGACACATCAGCCATCCACAATCAAGAGTTTTGACACAATTGTGGATTCCAAATTGTCCATCATCAATAATAATTTCACTTTCTTTGGTTCTAAAAAGTACCCATTGAAGTAGTGATACTGAACTAGTACTTCTCTACTAAGTACAATGGTTGCTTTCCGTGACACGCTTTCACCTGTCTCATTCTCTGGAAGAAGAGCCACAATATTTTGAGGATTACAGTTTCCTAAGGCATCACAGCTTACATATATTGCAAAAACTTCTCTGGTAAAAGAGTCCCTTTTATTTTAAAGGTGTCATTCTGATGGATTTGTTGCAGGATGTCGTGCTGCTGGGTCTGTGGATCCACAGCCGGAGGAGGAGCCTGGCGCCCACCATCCCGTCCACGCCTAACCCTTGCTGCCCCAGGCTGCCCACAGCAGCGCAGCCAAGCGGCAGGAAGCGGCTTCGCTCAAACCCGAGTCAGCTGCTCCAGTCATTTCTTTTAAAATCATCCTTGATACTTTGAGTAAAAATTTTAGGGGCAGTTAGCATCCTGGTTTAAAGTTTAAACTTTTAAGTCATACCTGGATTCGAATCCAAACTCTGCCACTTATTAGCCTTGTGAGTGTGGCCAGGATCCTAAACCTTAGTTTCTTCATCTATAAAGTGGGGGTTATAATTGCAATTCTCAACCTCCTAGAGTTGTTATGGGGATTAAACTAGATATGTATATGAACTGCTCAGCAGAGTTCCAGACAACAGTAAGTGTTCAGTAATTCTGAGGTCCTAACAGAGAGGTTCTGCTGTGCTTGCCTCACCTGCACAGCTATAAATAGATATGCTACGTTTTATAGTAACACTCCTCTAAAAATTCAGGGAAGAAAAGTGTAATTTCTATAGTTGAACATGTTATCAGAAGATGCTGTATAAAACTGTACTGGTAAAAATAACAAGAAAGCCTTCATCAACTGAATAGACCAATGGCAGAGATGGGCAATAAGGAAAAGTGGAAGAAATTACCAGAAAGACTGGGAAATTCCCTATACAGAAGAGAGGCTGAGCAAAACTCATAAAGCATCAAGATCAGAAACACAAAGGAAAGAAAGGACACAGCACGATGCACATTTCATGCGCAGAATGAGTGCACTAAACCAAACCACAAAGCCTACTGAGGAGAATGTAACTTTTTGAGTTGACAAAAACAAAAAACAAAAACAGGGCTGGCTTGTTAGCTTAGTTGGTTAGAGTGTGATGCTGATAACACCAAGGTCCAGGGTTCCATCCCTGTACCTGCCAGCTGCCAAAACAAAAACAAAAATAAAAACATACCCAAACAAACAAACAAAAACTCTAGGTACAAACAATGACAAAGTAAACCTGTAAGACTCTGCACATTATCAGCAATTAAGAACTATAAGTAAAGTAAGATTTGGTTGCTGTAGCATTTCAATCCAAATAGAATTAGATTGTGATAGGCTAATATCACCATACAAGAGGCTTGTGCAAACAGCTTAGTCACTACTTGTCTATGTATTCCAGAAGATACTTATATGGTACTAAACAGGAAAAGCTGTTCTGGAAAGGAGGCAAACAGACTTCTTTGAATAGTCGACAGCAGACAGGACAAGGGCAAGGCTGCAGCTCCTCTGAGAAATTGTTAAAGATGCTCTGCTCACATACAGGCTATGATTTCAGAAGGGAACTGCCTTCCTTTTAGAACATAGTGCCTCTCTAGAGAACAATGTTTACTCAAGGTCCCTCACACTTGCCGTTCTCCCCTGGCATGAAGGGTAAAGGCTAAGGATGCCCTTGGCTTCCTTGCTCTGGTCCCCCATCCTCAGTAAATTGAATCCAAGTCTGAGGAAGAGAAGATGAAACATTTACTTAAAATTCCCACTACAATCACCATAACAATGATACTTAAACCTTAACCTCATCTTTAACTAACTTGAATAGTTTCATATTACTTCCAACAGTTGAAGAGTAAATAGTCAATAACAAACAGACTTACCATCATTCTTTTGTTGTACATGAACAACTCTCTGGAAACTGGTACTTACTGCATTGTACACATCCAATGCAGCAGCTTTCTTTGCAATTTTTCGTTTCAACAAATCTGGCAAACCACTCATTAGGAAGTCACGCTTTGCTTTAAACTGCCCATCACAATCCTGAGGTTTTTCAGATGTATCTTGACTTTTAAGAAAATGATTTGAAAAAGAATAGCTAAGGTTATAAACACTTAAAAGAATAACCTATCTAGAAAATAAACTTTTAAATTTAATTTAAAAAATTAATCAGCTACCTAAGATGTTAGCTGGTCAAATACTTTTTTGCATATCACAAAAATGAAAGTCTACCCATGTTAAGAAATTAAATAAAAATAACACATACAGAAAAAAATGATTTGAAGGACATCCACCAAAACATTAACTGGGGCTATCTTTGGGTGGTAGGTAAGTTCTTTTCCTCCTGTCTTTTGTTTTCCTTTTTTTGTTGTTAAACATACATTTTTATTATAATCAGAAAACAAAACTGATGCCATATTTCAAAAATGGCAAAACTGCTAATACAAAACTTCATAATACAAAACTTCTAATATACTATTGTTTCCAATATAATAACAAGAGAATCAGGACCCTTATTGATGTCTCAGTTCTCAGTTTTACTTGGCTTATCTTCATCTTGAGAATCACAGGAATCTTGACTGAAGTGGTAGGAGGTGGGAGGGAGGCGAGAGGGTGGGGGAGAATGTGGGACTGGAGTGATGGAGGGGGGAAGGAGTGTGGTGGGATGTCACGGCTTATACAAAGATACTTCAAAAAATTCATGGAAAGGGCCGGCCCGGTGGCGCACTGGATAGTGCGCCGCTTGGGAAGCGCGGCGGCGCTCCCGTCCGAGGGTTCGGATCCCA